CCCCCGGACGGCCCAAGGAGGCCTCCAAGACGGCCCCAGGCTGACACCAAGAGGGGTCCCCGAGGGGGAACCCGAACAGACGCTTGGAGCTCTCGGCCCCGCGCCGCTGGGCCTCGGTGGGCCGGCTAGGCGATGCCGACCCCGGGGGCTGCCGCACGCGCCTCCCGGGCAGAACCGCGCAGGCACGCGCTGCGCCGGCGTGGTCGCGAGGGGCGGTCGCGCGGGCGGTCGCGCGAGCCCCGGCGCGGGCAGCGGCGGGGGGGGGGGGGGCGCGAGGCGGCGAGGGGCGAGGGGCCGCGGAGGAGGCGGGCGGCAGCGCGGGGCTGCGCAGGGAGAGGCCGGGGGGGGAGAGGGGGGGGGCAGGCCCCGGGCCGCCGCGCGCAGCGCGCAGCGCGCCCTGCGGCCCTGGGCACGCCGCTCGGGCGGCAGGAGGGCGCGGAGGAGGGCGTGGGGTCCTCTGGGATCTGGGCGTGGGAGGAGGGAGAGGAGGGAGCAGCGGGAGCAGCAATAGCAGGAGCACGAGCGGGGGACGAGTGAGGAGGTGAGAGAGATGATGGTCGGGGGGAACGAGAGGGGGGGATAGCAAAGGGTAGGGTAGAGAATCAGCAAACGTAGCTGATTTTCCCAGCGCCTCCCGGCGCCAGGAGGCGCCTATGTATCGAGGAATCGGCCCGGCGGCGGAGCCGAAACCAGCTGCATGCAGCAGATTTCGTAACCCACCCTTTCCCCACACACCCCTTTCGCTCGGCCTGATAGATGGGGTCAGAGGATCCAGCCAGATCGCCGATGCATCGCCGATGCATCGTCGATGCATCGGCGACCTCTGCGATGCATCGGCGTCGCCGGCGTGGAGAAGATCGGCATCGGCGATGCGGCGCGATCCTCCGACCCCTAGATCTGGGAGGCCGAGGTTCGATCCGCGGCCCCCGAGGCCCCGACGCACCCGAGCCCCCTCGAGCCATGGAAACATCACGACGGCTAGATTCTCTCTGCTCGCGGCCTCGGGGGCCCCTGGCCGAATTTCGCGACCGCCAAAGAGCGACGCGGGCCGGAAAGCCAGCCCCGGGAAATGGGTCGAGACCTCTGGGGTCGACGTCCTGAAAAAATCATGGCATCGAAGGGCTGGGAAGACCGAAGCCAGGACTTGGACAAGCTAGGGCGAGGATGAATCGAGAATCTCTGAGATCCGGCGGCTCTGGAGGATGTTTCGGGCGACGCGGCCCTCTCAGAGCGTTCTAGAACGCTCTGAGAGCGTTCTGCAACCCTCTGGAACGAAACTATCCTCGTCATGGCCCCGCCCGAAGAGGTCCCGAACTCGAACCCATCCTTGGGCGTAAAGATTGCGCCCCGGATCTGTCCTTGACAGCCCCATGGCCCGAGAACGGCCCCGAGAGGCCGAGATCCAGGACACGCGCCGCTGGGCGAGGGCTGGCAAATCCGTAGCTGCTACAACGGTCTTCCCGGAGGGAAAGCGACAAGTTCCCAGAATAAAGCTCAGCGCACTAGATGGTAAACGGGCTGCTCCCCGGAAGGAGGAAAAAAAATAAGTAAAATCAAAAAAAAGTGTCCCAGAGCTCTGTTTTCGCAGCCACGGGCTTGCCAGCCTTCGCCTGTCTTCCGAATCTGGGGTCCTTCGCCCTGTCGGAGACGTCCTTCGACTTGTCCTTGTCGCGCCTGCTGCGGCTCGGCGACCTCGCGGCGCGGCCCCCAACGGCGCACGGCTGGGTTGAAGGGGCCCTGGGACACACAAAGAAATACACACAAAAATATCAGGACTCCCAAAATGTCCCCATATTTTCTGGGTTGTTGTCTTCCCCCCCCACTTCCCATATCTTCCCATATCTTCTCCGTTCCCCGACGCCCCCGCGCGTGCTGGCCAGACCCTCCTCCTCCTCCTCCTCCTCCTCCTCCTCCTCCTCCTCCTCCTCCGCCTCCTCCTCCTCCTCCTCCTCCTCCTCCTCCTCTTCCTCCTCCTCCTCCTCCTCCTCCTCCTCCTCCTCCTTGGCGATCGACGATTCCTTGTGTCTGTTTGTGTGTGTGTGTGTGTGTTTTTTCCCTCCTGACTCACGGCGCACGGCTGGGCTGCCGCGGGGCGCACGGCGGACAGGCTCGAGCCCTCCGGCGACGGGGGCGCGGGGCCTGCTGACACGAGGGGGCCCCCGAGCGGGGTCTGGGCAGGCAGCGTCGGAGGGCCGTGCCGCATCGCCGGTGCATCATTGAATACCTACCAGACCAGCGCAGGAGGGCGGTCGCGCGGGCGGTCGCGCGAGCCCCGGCGCGGGCAGCGGCGGGGGGGGGGGGCGGCGAGGCGGGCGAGGGGGCGGCCGCGGAGGAGAGCGGCGGCAGCGCGGGGCTGCGCAGGGAGAGGCCGGGGGGGGAGAGGGGGGGGGCAGGCCCCGGGCCGCCGCGCGCAGCGCGCAGCGCGCCCTGCGGCCCTGGGCACGCCGCTCGGGCGGCAGGAGGCGGAGGAGGGCGTGGGGCCCTCTGGGATCTGGGCGTGGGAGGTGACTACCTACCAGACCACCCCAACCCAACCCGAAGACCCGAACTTCGGGTTGGGGGGGGGGTATGGGTTCCATATGTGTTTTTTCGATGTTCCCGGAGCCCCCCCCACTAGAAATCGAGGGTAAATCTGAGCCTTCGGGTTGGGTTGGGGTGGTTTGGTGGGTGGTGAATTGACGCATCGCCGATGCATTGACGACGTCGGCGATGCATCGACGGCGCTGGCGTGGAGAAGATCGGGGCCTTCTGGCCCCATCCATTCGAACGCCACTCGGGAATGTTAGAATTCAAGCGCGTGGATCCATTGGATATCCTTCCGAGGCAGGTCAGAGAACAACTCGCGGAAACTTCTGGTCGTCCCCAGGGCGCCCAGCAGCGCGCCTAATCGCTCGCAAAGCAGACTTAATGCAGCTCCCTCATATGGCGCTGTTGGGCGCTATGGGTCGCCAGTCAGCGCTGTCTGAGCGCTATTTGGCGCTCGTGAGAGCTACTGGGCGCTATTCGACGATATACATTCGTTCCAAAGCGAGCGCAAGCTTCCGCGATGTACTATTTAACAGAAGGGCTCGCATGGTTGAGGACTGGGAGGGGGGATGAGGGAGCCAGTGGGTGTACCCTGAGATCCGGGCACGGCCAATCTTTCCACACCGGGCATTTTCGCTCAGTTTCAAGCTCCAAGACCATCACGGATCGATCCAGCTCGCAAGGCGCGGTAGAAAGATGGGGTCGAAGGCCCTGTCGTGATTCTCCACGAAGTGTCACTTTTCGTAACGTCGGATCTCAGGGAAGGAGAAAGCCAGTGGGTGTAGGCCCACTTCCAGCCTCCTCCGTTCCCTTTCCGTCCTCCTCCTTCTCCTTCTCATCCTCCTCCTCCTCCTCCTCCTCCTCCTCCTCCTCCTCCTCCTCCTCCTCCTCGTCCTCCTCCTCCTCCTCCACCTCCTCCTCCTCCCCTCCTCCTCTTTCTTGCCTCCTCATCATCCTTCCCGCCTCCTCCTCCTCCTCCTCCTCCTCCTCCTCCTCCTCCTCCTCCTCCTCCTCCCCCTCCTCCTCCCCCGCACTGCGGGCCACGGCGGTGAGTCCGCAGAGCCCGCGACGCGCCCGCGCGGCGCGACGCAGCGACCTCCACCCGACCCCACGGCCTCAGAGTGGCATTTGAAGCCGGAAGGGGGGCGTCGGGAAACAGCGTGAGAACCCCAGCACCCCGCCCCAAAAAAAGGGTGATATATTATATATATATATATGTATATATAATATATATAGATAGATATACATATCATATACATACATATATACATACATACACATTACCTACCTACATACATACATACATGGATACATACATACACACATACATACATACATACATGGATACATACATACAAACATGCATACATACATTCATACATACATACATACATACATACATACATACATACATGCATACCTACCTACCTACCGACCTACCTACCTACCTACATACATACATACCTACATACCTACAGACCTACATACCTACATACATACATACATACATACATACATACATACATACATACATACATACATACATACATACATATGCATATATAAAGAATGAGAAGAGTTTCAGAAACCCTCGGATGGCCTCGGGGAAGGAGGAAGACGGGGGCCAAAGGCCCGTGGTTGACGCAGTCGTCCCTGAGGCCGTTGTCCCGCTGGCTGCCGTTGTAGTCGCGCACGCTGTAGCCCCGAAAGTGGCCGTAGTGGCCGTTCTGCTGCGCCCCGTGCTGCCTGGCTCCTGTAGCAAAATTTGGCGACGCACCCCAGGCTGGCACCCTCTGGGAGTCTCGATTCCCGAGCAACGTGTGCCTCGGGCGGGGTGGCGGGGTCGTCGGGGACATCTCCCTCGCGGAAGCTACCCTCCACAGGCGGCAAAACGTGGCGACGTCCGCACAAGGCTTCCCATGCCTCAGGCGCGATGACAGGTGCATCGGGGCCCCTTCCATCGCGGACGCGCGAGCGAGCAAAACCCAGGTGACGATTCATCTCCGATTTGAGTGGCCGCCAACGCGGCCCACTAAGGGTGGAGACCCACCTGCTCCACCGAGATTTCGAACAATGTTGTCATCTCATAGGCATTGATCGACTGAATGTGCTCCCCATGCTCCAGCTCGAAAAGGAGGTCGAAATCATAGGCCGAGCCATTGGCTTTCCCAGTCGCTTTCTGGCACACGCCCTTCTCCGTCTCCGCGTGCATCACGGCGCGCTCGTCGTCTCTCGCGCGCCTCACATGCTTCTTGAGTGTTGTAGGCTCTTTGATGTTCAAATAGTTTGCCTTATCATCTTCGATCCTCGCAGGGATCCGTCTTGCTTCGCGGGAGTAAAGGTTATCCTACAAGCTCAAGGGGGAGGCAGGGGCCAGCGAGAGCTGAGAGACTAAAACAAAGCACCTGAAATCAGACGCCGATACTCACGCCTTGTATTCTCCAGCAGCGCAAAGAGGACCCAGATGGGCCGCGCATATCTTGACATACAAAGCAGGCGATCGCAAACTCGTAAATCACACAGCTCACGAGCCGTGATCGCGAGCACGAACTTCCTTTGAATCCGAACTCCGAGGGGTCAAATAATCTTTAAACTCTGACTGTGGCGGGAGCTGTCGCAGCAGGGCTGGGCGCGGCGGGGGGCTACAACAACCTGAAGAAGAAATCCACCCCACGTGGCCAAAAGTACCTGCACCAAACCTGAATCAGCGCCGGGTGGCTCTTGAGGTTTGCTTCGCCCTCAAACACTTCTCGCGCCCCCGACGCTGCAAAAAGAGCTGATCTTGTGACAGCGATGCTCGGCCAGCGCTGGGTGGCTCTCGAGGGGCATTTCGCCCTCAAACACCACTTGCGCCCCCGACGCTGCAACGAGAACTGAGAATGCGACGGCGACTGCACGGCCAGCGTCGGGTGGCTCTTGAGGTTTGTTTCGCCCTCAAACACCACTCGCGCCCCCGACGCTGGAAAGCTCTGCACCTGTCGCGGCGGCCAACGAAGCCGCAGGAAAACGCGCCCGGGACACACTGCTGCTCACGCTGGCGCCACGCCTGATCATCGAACTGCGGGGTGACGATCGCGCCCGTAGGCCGCCGCCCATAGAGCGCCCTCGCACGGCTCCCAAGGCCACCCCTCAGGGCACCCCCATCACTCAGCCACCAGCCCGTGCCCCCCCCGAACGTCTCGTCCGAGAAGAGGCCTCCAGGGCTATATTGGTCGTCATCGTCGGACTGGTCGGCATTCTTGGAACTACGCGCCCTTGAGCTCTTGATCTTCATCAGCTCGGCGGCGACGTCCTTAGCTAGGTTATTCTTGATGGCGTTCTCGAGGGCCTCGGGGGGGCTGCCGCACGGGCGTGGACGCATCCTCAGGGCTCGCAAGATCTCCGCCTCCAGGCCCCGCCCCGCTCGCGCGCCCGACTCGCGGACCACCGCGGGCATCCTCGGGCGGAACTGGGTCAGGGCAAACGTCTTGGAGTAGCGCTGGACACTGGGCAAGGCCTTCCACCTCCCACGACGCCTGACCTGCTCGAGCGATGCGCACCCTCGGGCGATGTCCTCGCCGGGACCCGAATGGCGGATCCCATGTGGGGGCGGCGCCCATGGCATGCCCAGCGCGCGGCGGGCCTGGTGCCAGAGTTTCCGGAAGCGGCTCTGGTCGACACCGAAGAGCTTCTCGCCCTTGCCCGCCCTGAAGTCGCGCAAGCCCAGGACTAGGTTAGCGGCCGCGCCCCGTCGGACGACGGCGCCCTGGTTGGCGCCCGTCTTGACTCCCCCCCCGCAGCTCGAGACGCCAAAGGCCAAGGCCATGCACTGGCCGTCCCACACGACGCCCCCGACCTTCAGCATCTCGACGTCCTGCTCTCGGTCGTAGACGTCGTACTGCATAAGTGTCCACACGGCCTCCACGTAGTGCCCCTGCTCGACCATGTGGATGGCGATCGCGTAGGTGGCCTCCTCGGGGAGTGGGCCACCCTCGCTCGCGCCAGCAAGCTTCTGCCAACTCTCGAGGCTTCTCAGGGCGAGGGGCAACTTGTTGCGAAGCTCAGGCCAGATCACCAACATGCCGAAAAGGACCACCGAGCCGAGGGTCGCTCTCTTGCGCTCGCCGTAGGACTGGATGTCCATGTAGTCGGCCAGCGCACGATCGACCTCCGACTCGGATGTGAGCTGCCAACCTCGCTGGATGCAGAAGCCATGGAGCCGCCGCACTTCGGGGGCCCACTGCGAGGCGGCGGCGTCTGCCACTGAGCGCGCGAGCAGGCGCGTGAAGCCATCGTCCAGCAGGCCAGCGTTCGGGCCCGTCGCGTAGTTGCCCCATGCCAAGGGGTCCCTCTTGGTCATCGGGGTCGCGCCCATGGGCTGCAGAGGCTCGCGGCCAGCCGACGCGCACCCCACCGGGTCGAAGATGGGAAGCGTCAGCCGCCAGCATATCCTGAGCAAGCCTGACCAAGGGCGCGCAGCTCGTTCTCCCAGCGGCACCTCCTCTGACGCGGGCGGAGCAACTGGTGGCGCACGGTCGCTGCGCGCTCGCACGATCTCGGACGCCGCCCCCGGGATGCCCCCTCGGGACAGGCCATCCGCCACGTTCACCTCGGACGGCCCGTAGCGGCAGGAGTCGCAGATGCGAAACGCCAGGGTGACGGCCCCCGCTTGACGGCACAGGCGCAACAACGCTGGGGCGCTCGATCGGCCCTCCCCCAGCGCGCCCAAGGCCACCATGCTGTCTGTCAGGATGAGGACGCGCCGCCCCCGCGACCTCGAGGACCTGGCCAGGTGTCTCAAGAGGCCCACGATGGCACGCGTCTCGTTGATGTTGGCGTGCTCGGTCTCGCGCCACTTGCCGAAGTGGAGTAGCATTCATCTCGTCAGCGGAAGCCAACTGTCGGACAGTGGGGGCGCTCGTAGCCGATCTCCTCGTCGCACCTCCCCCTCGATCTCCCAGGTCGCGAAGGCCCCAACGTCGCCGACGCAGGCGACCGCAGTGAGCCCTCGACGTCGGGCCCGAGCCTCTTCGCCCCCATGTGCCAGAAAGCCTCGATTGTTACCTCGCTGAGGGCGTCGCAAAACTCGGACTGGTAGGTCTGCGCAGCAGCAGCAGCACGAAAGGTCGGACCTTCTGGCTCATCTCGGCCCTCGAGCGTAACCCGATGGCGCCCCTCGTGGTGGCAGGTGAGGCAGAGTCGATCGGCGGCGCCCTGCTCTCCTGTCAAATGCACCGAAGATGCCGACCATGGTCAGCTTCATGGAGGGGGCGCCGTAGCGGCACTGGTCCAGGTAGTTGACCCATCCTCCAAAATCCTTGATGAGGTCCTTCAACTCCACGAGGTCCAAGACCGACGGATAGGGCGCCCCCCCTGGGTCGGACCTGTGCTCCGACAGGCCGACCCCGCCGGCTGCGCAGACCGCGCGGATCACCGCCTGCGCCGTCGCGAGCGCCGCGACCCCGGAAACGGGCGCGGCCCCAGGTCGAGCACGGGGGCGATGCCAACACGCCATGGACTCCATGGAAGTAGCCCTTGTCGACGAGCCTCACGATGACGCTCAGAAAATCGGGGTCGGTGAGGTCGCGCTTCGGGTCGATGATCGCGCCCAGGGACCAGACCTCGACGAGGATGCCAGCGATCTCCGCGCGTCGACGCAGGTGCCCCTCGAGGTCCCCTGGCCGACGAACCCCCGCGAAGAGGTAAAGGAAGCCGAGCGCGCGCGCACTCGGGCCACGCACGACTGAGGCCGCGGCCTGCGCCAACTCGTCGGCGTCGTGGGCGTCGCCGCCGCGGCTCTCCTGACAGGCGCCCTCCTCGGCGTTGGCGTAGAGGTCCTCAGCGGCGATGGTCCAGCCTCGCAGCTCGCAGTATCTGGTCTCCGCGCGAATCTCCTCAACCGTGGCGTGGGCGACGGCAACCCCGTAACCTACGTCGCTGGAGTCGGTCATGGCGGGTCCAGTTCGGGCAGGTGGCCATGAGCGGGGCACAGTAGGCAGCAGCGGCGTGCTCGGCCCGCGCCTTTGCAGACAGGCGAAACGCAGCGGCGGGGCTCGAAGGGCGTCGCATCTCGTGGTCGACCTGGTCGAAGATGGCGAGGCTCGTTCGCTGTAACACCGCCGCCCAAGCCCAAGGTCCGACGAGGCGCTACCAACATGGCAGCAGGGTCTCTCCACCAAGGCGAGGGTCACAAGGGCCAGGCGGCAAGTCTTCAACGGGCGCGACCCAATCATGATTGGACGGCCCCTCGGGACAGCTCCCAGAGACTCGAGCCCCTCGGCCTCCTCCTCCCCGTGGACCGCGAGGCCCACGGACTCCAGGTAGGACTTGACCTTCGCCGCCATGCTCGACGCCAGCTCCTTCTCGCGGCCATTCGCGCTCGTGCTGCCCGCCATCGCGCGGCAGTCGTCCACGCAGGCCCGGTTGAGCGCCTCGCAACCACCAGCGTCGCCGTGGAGCTGAGGCGTCGTGGACCCATGCACCACACGAGCGCGAACCGAGCCTTCGCCGAGAGCCGATTTCACGCACGCCCGCGGGGCGGAGCGCGCCAGGAACGGCGCCCACGACCACCCCATGACGAGCACCTCCAGGGCCAGGTAGCCCAAGTCCGCGGGCGCCCCGACGTTCGCCGCCCGCTCGGCCATGCACAGCACGAGCTCGTCCACGCCAGCCTCGTCCAAGCAGAAATAGGGCCAGCACTGCGGGGGCGTCTCCAACCTGTAGAACATGCCGGGGATGTCGCCGACCGCAGAGTAGACGCGCCCCTCCGCCTCGATGTTGGAGAGGTCCAGGCTCGTGAATGAGGCGGGGCTCCCGAGCGGCACGCAGGGCGGCCGCTCCCAGCGGGGGCTGGCCCGCCGCTCGCCCCAAATCGCACGCGCATGCCGCTGCAGGACCAGGTCGCCGTCCACCTCCGACTCCACGTACTTCTTGGTGACCTCAAAGAGCGACACCGACTCCTTCTTCTCCTCGGTGAAGGTCAGCATGCCGCCTCTCCAGAGTCGCTCCGCCAGTCGCAGGCGAGCCCCACGAGACTTCAGCGCGGGGTCCCGGTAGACGACCTGGCTCTCCAACTCTCGCATCATAACCGAATATGGTCGCCTCGGCGCGCGGCCCTCCACGTCCGAGAAATACTCGACGGCGAGACGACAGATGTCGACCAGCTCGACGGGAACGGCCCCAGGGCCCCAGGCGCAGGCAGCGCCAACTCGTCCGCGTCGACCGAGCACATCGCGCCCTTCGGCAGCACGCGGCGACCCTTCGAACCCACGCCCAGGGGCTCGGTGACCCCCTCGCCCTCGCACGGCGAAGCCCGGCCAGCGAGGACGCGCTCGACGGCGGCGCCCAGGTCCACGTCGACGTCGTAGACGTGGCCCTGACAGGAGGCCCACGAATCCAGAAGCTCCGAGGCCGTCCTCTTCCGGTGCGAGGTCGATCGCTCCCGCGGAGCCACAGGCCCCACCCCGGCCACCCATCCCACCGCCCCCCACGAGGGGGAGTGCATGACACGAATGAGCCCGTTGGTCAGAGACCTCACCTTCTTGATGGTGCCATGGGGGGCGGACTCCATGCGGTTGGCCACCGCGCGCGCCCCGCGGGAGCAGCGGCATGTCCGGCAGAAGGTCGCGGTCGCGCGGTCGAGCCCCTGGTGACTCGAGCTGCGTCAGACGTCGCCATGGCCAGGGTAGTGTAGCCGAGTGAAAGATGCGAGCCACCAGGCGCCACGCACTCAGAAGGGCACCAGCAGCTCGAAGGGGCCGAGGACCAAGCCACTCCGCCAAGATCGCCGAACGTAGGCTTTGCCCGCGCGCGCGGCCGCTGTCGAAGCAGACGGAGCGCCGAAGCGCCAGCGCCCACGCCCAGCGCCAAGGGAGCTCGGCCTCGGCGAAAACGTCCACGTAGAAAGCCGTCAGTCCCCCCCCTCCTCGGCGCCCTCGGAGCCCGCCTTGTGCAGGCACTTCTGGAACAGCGCCTTCTGCTGCAGCCGCGCGGCGAATTCCTTCTCGACGCTCAAAAGAGACCCCCCCCCCCCCCCGCCCATAACGGAGCGCCAGCCCAGCTCGTTCGCTGGGCCCCAACGCACCTTCGACTTCCATTTGATGGCCCATGTGCCGCGGGGCTGCTTCCAGTCGGACAGCGCGCGCGCGCCCCTGAACGCCCGCTTCAGCGCGTAGACCCTCGAACGCAGGATTTCGCAGCCAGCCGCCGCGATGAAGTCGGGAAAGGCCTCCAGCATGCGATCCAAGGTCATGCAGTGCAAGAGCATATCGTGGCCGATGCGGTTCTTGTAGAGCCCCTTCTGCTTGACCCAGTCCGTCGCGAACTTGCCCATGCTGCCATACTTGCCGAAGGTCTGGACTAAGAGGTCGGGGGCGACGCGGGCCGTCAGCCCCAGTGGCAACTCGAACGTCGGGGCCGACTTCAGCGTCGCCAAGTTCTCCATCAGGCGAACCCTTGGACCCTGCACAGACTCGCGCAGCGGCCCGAGGTTCACCCCGACCTCCTCCACCGAGACCTCGCCCAGGTTGATGGCCGGGGCCGCCGTCGATCCCGCCGCAGCTGCCGTCGACGTCTGGCCCGCGACCGCGCGGCGAGCTCCTGTCGCACGGTCCGCCTGGATGGTCTTTTCGAACTGGGTCAGGCGATCCATCATGCGGTCGACGTGCATGCCCACGTCGGCAGGCGATGGAATGCGCTCCCAGCTGCCCGCGCTCGACCCTGGGCTCCACGCGGATGACCCATCTGAGCGGCGAGGGCCGTCTCCCCCGCCCCGAGCTGAGCTCCCCTCGGCCTCCGCCCCTGCACGGCCACGGTCTCGCCGATCCCGGTGCATCTCCTCCATCAAGTCCTGCATCATCTTCCTCATCTCCGAGACTTCCTTGCTTCCCTCTGCCTCCGAGTCCGACTCGTGAACTGAACGCCCAACCCTCCCATCGCTGTCCACGTCGCTCCCTGGGGGGCTGGCGCCGCCGAGCCTGGGCAATCCACGACGGCAGCACCAGCTCCAGAGCACGGGAGCGAAGGCCATCATGAAGGAGAGAAGCAACATCGGCAGCTCCAGCCGACCGCCCTGCCACAGGTCGTAGAGGTAGGCCCTGAAGTCGCCCAGCTCCATCAGGAATGCACGCGCGTCGTCTAGTTTCTCCACCGCCCACTTGGCCCAGCCACAAGCAAGGAAGTACAGCGCCGCCCTCCATGCGAAGAGGATGAGGCCCCCGGTAGCGCCCCACGATGACGTCGCCCACATGGCGACCGCAGCACTGCGAGCCCACCCAAGCAACGAACACCATGAGCGCCAGCGTGCGGTGCCAAACTCCATACTTAACTGCTTCTCGGTGCCCGCCTCGATCACCGCCGTCTTCTCGTCGGCGGACAGGGCGGGGAAGTGGGCGCAGGTGGCATTCGGCTGGCGCTTGACGGTGATCCGAGAGCGATCCTTGAGATCGACGGGGCCCAAGCTTCGGTCTGGCCGAACGAAGATCCACCGAATGTCGCCCTTCTTCTTGGGGCAGAGCCTCATGGGCACCAGGGCGACCTCGCCCAGGCCTCCGCCCAGGTTGCGGCACATCCGACTCCATCTGCGCACTGAGCTCATAGACAGGTTAACGTACTCGGCGATGCTCAGCCTCGGCGGGATGCGCTCACCACGCGAGACAGGGTCGCTCTCGTTGGCGGCAGCGATCGGAGACTAGAGGGCACACTCCAGCAGCCTAGCGTCGCCAAGGAAGGAGAAAGCGAGCCCCGCAGCGAGGGCCCGACGCCACGTGGCGCGAAGCCTTGCGCGAGCAGCCGCTCGCAGGGCAGCAGCGCGCAAAGCGCGGGCCGGCTGCAGCCCGCCCCGCGAGCGGCCTGCACGGTTCTGAGCATTTGCTATGTTCCGCGGTGCTGCAGACAATCAGAACCGTGATAGCTTTTCTTCTGTCCGCTCTGTATTATTCGACGTCTTGCTGCAGGTCGCTCTCTTCCCCGGTCGCGTCGGCGGTTATCAGCATTGCCTTCGCGCGCGCACTAGTGCATCCCACCGTCGCGGCACGTTCTCGCTGTTGACCCCAGCGGCGATCGTCTTCAGCATCGGCGTCGATCGGGGGCGGCGCTGGCAGCGGTGCCGCGATACGGTCGAAGTCGAGTAACTTGGGTCCTCGCGCTGGCCCCTGCGTCTGCGCGCACGCAATCTCGGCGCAGTCCCCCGGTGACCCTCCTGCTGCGCTGGACCGCCTGATTCCCCAAATCTCGTTCTCATCGCCGTGGAACTCGCCGCCAGCCGGGGGCCCCGCCGACTGCGCCCACGACCACGCGCACACACGCACGCACGAACGCACACACACACACAGTACACACACATATACACAACACACAACACACAACACACACACACACACTCACACACACACACACAACAACAACAACAACAACAACAACAACAACAACAAACACACACACACACACACACACACACACACACACACAATAACAACAACAACAACAACAACAACAACAATCATTTTACCCGAACGCGTGGTGTTCTCCCCAGTGCCAGGGTTGTCATACGACACCAGGCAATACCCCCACTTCGTGGGGGGGCATTACAAGCTCTACCAAATATCCAAACGACTCTTCGCGACCACCCAAACCCAGCTTCCCGCCCTATGACGTTGGGACACTTCACTTCGTGGCGTGCGGACGACCGTGGCTACTACACTGGCGTGGGGTACACACCCACAGAACCCCAATGGTTTTTGGAGATTTCGGCGTGCGCGCGCGAAGAAAAAACGAATGTGTCCCGCATGGTATTATTTGACAGGGATGATGGCCCTGGCAGGTGCGCAACCGTTGTCGCAGAAGTTCGAAAAAGTTGCTCGCAAAAGCCCGTTTGACAGAAATGTTTAAAAAGTGTTGGGTTTCCTACGAATCCGCAAGAGCGCGCGGGATGAGATTTTGACATTTTTTTGTTGAAAAACCATTGGTTTTTTGATGTTTTTATGTTAAAATCGTTGCGAACACTAAGGTTTTGGAAGGATTTCGTCTTGCGCGCGCGAATGTCCACTTTACCTTATTTTTTGCAAGGGATTCTTGAAATTTGATTATATTAGAACAAGAAATGTCATTTTATAGTGTTTTTTGCAAGGGAAAACGGATTACAACAAAACAACCGGATCTTGATCACCTCGAATTACCTGAGGCTTCCTCACGAAAATGATGAAAACGTGGCTGCGGCCTAGGCGCGGCGGGGGGGGCGCGCACCAGGGGGCCCAACAATAATTATTCTTTAGAATTAATAATGTTCAACAACAACAATTACTAGCACGTGGGGACACTCCGTTCTCACCAGTGCCAGGGTTTTCATAGGAGGCGGGCAATACCCCCACTTTGTGGGGGGGCCGGTTCAAGCTCTACCAAATTTCCAAACGACTCTTCGCCACCACCCACACCCAGCTTCCCGCCCTATGACGTTCGGACACTTCACTTCGTGGCATGCGGACGACCGTGGCTACTATTCAGGGCCCCGCGGCCGACGACGACGGCGTGCGCGCGCGAAGAAAAAACGAATGTGTCCCGCATGGTATTATTTGACAGGGATGATGGCCCTGGCAGGTGCGCAACCGTTGTTGCAGAAGTTCGAAAAAGTTGCTCGCAAAAGCCCGTTTGACAGAAATGTTTAAAAAGTGTTGGGTTTCCTACGAATCCGCAAGAGCGCGCGGGATGAGATTTTGACATTTTTTTGTTGAAAAACCATTGGTTTTTTGATGTTTTTATGTTAAAATCGCTGCGAACACTAAGGTTTTGGAAGGATTTCGTCTTGCGCGCGCGAATGTCCACTTTACCTTATTTTTTGCAAGGGATTCTTGAAATTTGATTATATTAGAACAAGAAATGTCATTTTCTATTGTTTTTTGCAAGGGAAAGCGGATTACAACAAAACAACCGGATCCTGTACACACCCTCTTTTCTGAGGCTTCCTCACGAAAATGATGAAAATGTAGCTGCGGCCTAGGCGGCGCAGGGGGGGCGCGCACCAGGGGGCCCAACAATAATTATTCTTTAGAATAAATAATGTTCAACAACAACACCAAACACACACACACACACACACACAACAACAACAACAACAACAACAACAACAACAACAAACACACACACACACACACACACACACACGCACACACACACACACACACACACAGACAAACACACACACACACACACACACACAACACAACACAACACAACACACACACACGCATCGCCAGTGCCTCGACGCGTCTGAACAATCGCGTCTGAGCAGTCAGGTCAGGGCCACAGTGGTCTTTGAGGCTGATTTGTCAGGTAGTGCCGACCACGTACTTCGACGTCCGCGCCCGGTCGGCGCGCGGCGCTAACGCGTTTGGCACGCGCCGTTTCGCCGCGCAGTGCGGCTCCACACTCGTGGCACATGTCCTTGTTTGTCGTCGCTTCTGCTCCGCGGGTTCTATCGGGTGGTGCAGGGTCGGCTCGTGCGCATGTTGCTGCCAGTCGCGCCCTCCGTTGTGCTCGTTCGCCTTCGCCGTAGCTGAGGTCTGCGGTTGTTCTCGTCGCCTGCGTTACTGTGCTGCGGAATATGCTTGGACCGTCTCGCGCTGCTTCGATCCACCTTTTGGCGTCGGCGGGTGGCGCTGGTTGCTAGGAGTTGTCGCTGCTTGCTGCTACTCCCTCGGGGTCGGCGCTTATCGCGCTGCTCCATGGGCCTTGGCTCTCGAGGTTGAAGTCCAGTAGGGCTTGTAGTTCTTGTGGGCGCTCTTCTGTCAGTCTTAGGATTCCTCGGAGTCGGCGCGACCGCAGGCGCATCTCCACCGCCGGCAAGCCTGCTTCCCATGGGATCTCAAGGTTGGACGTCTTGCGCAGTTTAGCCGCGCGGTGCTCGACCCCCAGAACTTGTCGCGCAATTGTCGCGCAGGCTGTCGCATGTCGCTTATAGCCTGTCCATTTCTTGATGATCCAGGCTCAACAGCTCGGCGCACGCGAATGACTCGAGGTAGCGCAGCCTCAAAGCATGGTTGATTGCCGTCCGGTTGAATGCCGCCTTACGCAGCGGTCATGTCGCTCTTTCCGTCGCAAATGCGCGAGCAGCTACCTCGCGCGCCAAGTCGCTGCGATCACTGAGCGCTGTGCCTTGTAGCTCAGTGCGCCTTTACCGTTACGCCCAAGTCCGTGAAACTCTGCGTCGTCGCGATCATAGGTCTGGTCATGCGCCTGCCTTTCGGGAAGTTGCGAGGTGGGACCTGTCGACGTTGATCGGGGGGCCTCTGGACATCGTCGCTCGCAGGAGGTGCTCCACATATTTTCACCGCGGTGCCGATCAGGACGCCATCGCCCGCGACGGCGGTCGCGCGCGCGTCGTCGACGGAGGGGGTGGACGCGACGATTGTTTCTTCGTCGTAGTTCTGGGAAACCCACGACGCCATTGGCATCCGAACCACCGCGTCGCCCTTCATGGCGCCCTCGCGATATTGCTTGCAGGTGTCGGCCGCTAGCGCATTGAAGGCGCAGTCTGCCATTGGCGCTCCTGGCCTCGCCACGAATCGCGGCACAGCAAAGTTAGCATCTCGACCCAACAAGAACCAGTGTCCATGATGTGCCTCCGTCATCACGCTGACCAGATGTTCGTTCAGGTGCTCGCTGTCGATGTGCCTGTTTACTACAGCCGGGCCCGCCATGAGCGCTCGTAGTGCTGGTACTATCGGTCCTGGCATCTCCACGTGCTCGAACATGTCGGCGCATGATGCCGACAATTGCTTGGCTCATGCTGTGTACGAGGAAGGTGGCTACTTCGTGGAAGGCCGCCTTCAGGTCTAGCATGAGTAGCACGAATACCTGCCTCGACTTGCTCGCCACGTCGTGCACCAATCGTACCGCGAGGAGGCTGAAGTAGGCGCTGTAGCGACGTCTGCCCCCCCCCCGTCTGCGTGCTGAAGAGGATATCTGGCATGAGGTCCCCCATGCACTGTCGTATATACTTGTAGCGGTGCTTGCTTGCAGTGTTGGCCAGCGTGATTGATATGTGGTTGCTGAGGTATTATTCGCTGGTCTTGCCTTTCCAGGAGTGCGTTATCCTTGATCCCGTTGATGTCATGCTCTCTCGGCCAAAGAAGGAAGCCTTTTGTGTTTGCGGGGTGGATGTGTCTTGCCATTTCTTGCAGTGCAATATTGCCTTTGTCGTCAGATACGTCGTGTGGGGCCAGAAGCGCGGCCTACCTTGGTTCTTGCGAGTAGGTCCTCGAGCTCGTATACGCTGGCGAAGTTGAGTATGCTGCGATGCATGTTCTTGTCGGCTATGTCCGCTGTGGCGTTGTAGTTGTCAACGACGCCTGCGTTCGTCATGAACCTTGCCGCGTATATTTGGCCGAACTGCCGGGTGACCTCGATGATTGTTTCGTTGCCAAGTGTCTCGCCGCTGATGTCCGCCATCATGGGGTATGGTTTGCACTTCTGTATCCGCCTACCTCCGAATAATAATAGTTTTGTTGTTTTTCAAGTCGGGTAGTGCGTCGTGATTGTCTCGTGTTTGCTTGGCCTTTTTTCTGCTTGTCTTTCTAGAAAATGGCCGTAGTCGTAGTTGACCATCGTGGAGGCAGCCTTCCTGGTCGCTACT